TGTACTGTACAACCCAATAAGTGTATTGAACGTATATTATTGTCTAAATCACATGTAAGTTTGTATATTTTCAGCCACCGGCTGCAACCCTATTAGTAAACCGTTTATTATTATTATTATTATTTAACACATACAACCCAGGCAGAATGCGTGGGGGAGCTATTCTTTTTACATAAAATAATATATATCCTGTACCAGTAAATGTGAGGAATAAATAAAAAAGAAAAAATTACTGCATTACCACTAGCACGAGACAGCAGAGCTGTAAAAAAAAATGCCACTTCCTCACACTCTTGTGAGAGGGAGATAATTATTTTTAAAAGTTTTTTTTCACATTCTGTATGAGCATTTGTGTGTGCATGTAACAGAGTATAACAGAATAAAATGGAAATTATGTACTGTGTAGGACAGTGTGTGTGTACGCATTCCTCCGCCATATGCTCCTGCTCGCCTAGGTCTCACACGTGCTGGCGTGTGCTTTGTGTGATCTCGCAGTTCTGTTTTATGTGATTTCGCTGTTGTGTTTTGTGTGATCTCGCAGTTGTGTATTGTGTGAACTTGCAATGCCTAAGCGACCATCTACTAAAACTCCCAGCAATGTTGCTAAGAGATCACGTGTGGCAGTTACGTTGGATGTGAAATTGGATATCGTAAAAAGAGATGAACACGGAGAAGGAACGTCAGTGATTGGGCGTGTGCATGGCTTGGTTCCCTCTACGGTGCATTCTATAGTTAAAAGCGCCGACAAGATCAAGGAGATGGCCGGGTCTGCAACACCACTGACGGCTACGAAGGTGATGAGGTTCCGTGATGCCGAGATGGAGAGTATGGAGCGGATGTTGAGCACGTGGATTGACGACCAGACCCAGCGCCTTAAAACACCTTTATCGCAACACATGATTCAACACAAGGCAGTGGAGAACAACAACTTTCAGTGCAAATTGACAGCGATAATGAGTGAGGTGGCTGACAACCCTGGCAGTGATGATGAGAGTGAGGTGGCTGACGATCCTGGCAGTGAGGAGAGTGAGGTGGCTAACGACCCTGGCAGTGAGGAGAGTGAGGTGGCTAACGACCCCGGCAGTGAGGAGAGTGAGGTGGCTGACGACCCCAGCCTCCTCTCACCCCAGTAAACCTTCACCCTCTTCCCTAATGCCAACTTCAGCAAGCAAGCAACACAGCACATCAGAGATAAATCAACAGTCTACGTTTAAAACTTACCTCAAACACTCAAACATGTGAAATACCCGACTACTGTACTTGTGAACATATACGCCTATTAAACTCAGTGTTTGTTATTGATGTGTGTTTGTTATTGATGTTTATTTGTTATTGATGTTTATTTGTTATTATGCCCTTGTTTCTTAATCTATTTTATGTTCTATATGTATTGAGTAAAACATGTGTTCAAATCTGACGGCCATGACCACCACGATGCCCGTATCCCCCCTATTTACATTACAGGTAGTCCCCGACTTACGACCGACTCGACTTACATCCACCCGCACTTACGACCGCCTCAGTCGTACCAAAATGTGGTCAAATTATGTATTTTTGAGTTTCAAAGTCAGTACACAGACAAAATTTTCATCTGTAATTTACTTTAAAATGGCTGGCAAGCTTAAAAGTGAGTGTTTTGTGGTGCTGAGAAGAAAAAGAGACCCAAATTTTCTATGTGTTATTTAAGCATTTCGAACTTACGACCATTTCGACTTACGACCTGGATGTTGGTCCCTAACCCCGTCGTAAGTTGGGGAGTACCTGTATTTCTTATGGGAGAAATTGCTCTGCTGTCGCAATTTCGATATTCGCAACGAGTTTCATGCCTGTAACCTTTGCGATAAGTGAGGCAGCCCTGTATATCTACCCAAAAATACGAGTTGAAAAATAACAATAACGCAGCTCACAGCTTGGCTGGAGGCTGAGATACCGACATTGCGTCCCTTTCCCACGATTCCCGGCGACGTAAGATATTTTTACTCTGTATTCCCCTTTATGCTTTTGACTTTGTAATTTTATTTTTATTTTTTGCACATGTGTATGAACAATTGTGTGCATGTAACAAGAAATTGCAAGTTGAAAAATAACAATAACACCGCTCACAGCTTGGCTGAGATCCCGACCCCAAACCCTCATCCGCTCCCACAATCCACACTAACTCCGGGAATGTAAAAAAATTGTTCTATGTTTTTAAACCTTTTTATAATCATTTCTTTTATTATTATTTTTTGCACATTCTGTATGAAAGATTGTGTGAGCCTGAAACAGTAAAAATAATAAAAATAATAATAATAATAATAATAATAATAATAATAATAATAATAATAAAATACATGTCTTCCCCACTCTGTGATAAGTCCCATGCACATAAGAAATGTTTACTGTATTCCCTATGCTTTTGACCGAATGATAATTTTTTTCCCCACATTCTGTATGTGGGATTGTATGTGTATGTAACTGAATGGAAAAAGCGAGAAAGCTTTCATAACACGAAATAGTGGTGTCAATTTAGGAAATTGGTACAGTCAACCCTCACTTTGCGCGGTTAATTCAACCCACAGGGTACCGCGGAAAGTGAGAAACGCGTTAAGTGAACAACATAACATATGGGATTAATTGAAATAGAGACTGGGCCGACCCCCAAACTCCACTTTTTGACGACACACAACTATGTTGTAGTAAAAATATTATCTTAACTTTATGATGGTATGCACACACAATTAATAATTAAGAGAAATATCAATAATATTTGGTTTTTTAACACTTACATTAGTAGAAAAGATGGCTGGGCACACGGGGATGGGCGGTTGGTTCCGAGGCAGAGGGCAGATTATTGGCCCTCACCTGTATCACTTGTATCAATTGTATCACTATCCACCACAGAGGCTTGCAGGGCCTCTTTGTCAAACCCCTCAAAGTCCATATGAGTCCATATCCTCACTATAATTATCACTATCACTGACTTGGGCCGGCTGTGGTGGGTGGCGGGTGAAGAACTCGGTAATGTTTTGATGACTGGGCGACCTTGTGCGCACCATGCTCGTCCACTTACACAACATGGCGGATGGTGGGAGGTTTGGATCCAAAAATGGCGCGGCTCGCCAGCCGCTCTCCGCGTAAAGGGGTACACGCACCGCGGAATGTGAGCATTCCTGTTTCGGCAGGGTACCGCGTAAACGTGGAAACGCGGAATGTGGGACCGCGTAAAGCGAGGGTTGACTGTATAAGCAAATTTTTGTACCTCAAACTTTTGTATCTTGAGGGACACCTGTACAGGGTATATGCAAATATGAAATATTCAGTACAGTATATGTATGTATATGTGAAACATTCTGTTGATGCATGTATGAAAATTCTGTTGATGCATGTATGAAAATTCTGTACATACATGTATGTACATACATGTATATACATATGCTTTGTATACCACAAGAACATGTGAAACATTTTTTAAACTCTTACTTAGATCATGCTTCAATAACAGTCTATTAGGAACTTAGTAAAAGATAAGCATTCAAAAACAAAAATGGGAATATTGTACAGTACAGTACAGCACTGTAGTTAGATTAACACAGCTATATTAATGTACCGTACATTTCCTGTGACCCCATCAGAAGGCTACACACACACACGGGGAAGAGATGAGGTGGTGGGGGACAGTATCTGCTAAATTTGCTACCCATAAAGAGGGCAGAATCTTCAGTTCACACATCTATAAACAAATTAACACATTCCATTCTACAGTAGGAATTTTCCTCACATATTTAATATACCGTATGTGTAATGCACAGTCACCGACAAAATACTCTTGACACGTGAGAAAACACAGACAACATTAACATACATAATGGCCAAAAATCTTGCATGCAAGTAAAACTTTGGTGTGTCTTGCTTTATAGAACACGGGTAGGAGACTGAATCATTGCGACACGATCTGAATGGTGTATAAGTACAGTAGTGCTGCCAGACTTAAGAGTATTTATTGACGACTGTACATTACTGTATGAAAATTTACTGCATTCATAACATCTGTCATTGGCTACTATGATCAATAAAGGGAGAATATTCCCTTGTGGGCAAAACCGGAATATTGTACAGTAAAGAATTTATGGTGGTACCAATACAGACTCTTCAACATTTAATAACATCCTGTATTCAGCCCCACTACAATGCCAAGAATAGGCATTAATATTTTTACATAAATCATTATGTATAGACTGTACAAATTCTTCAGATTGTGTATATTATACACAGTATATATATTACATTAAACGATGCAAATGGCATCTTTTTTTATTTTTATTTATTTTTTTACAAAACTAGAGCAACATTGTACACAACACGTAATATAAAGAGAAACTGTAAATGCCACTACAGTATATGAGATAAAGGAGAGACACCCTTACTCTGATTAAATTTAACAATGACATTTTCAATTTTAAAATACTACAGTACGTGCATAACAAAACATGTGCAATCAATCCCACATAGCATGCAGTGTCACAGGTGAGCACATAAGAAAAAGTATGGCTTTGTTATATCATACACACTTGTACCAACGACAAGACATGAACCTAAGTGTCTTACACTACTATTAACTAGTTTACCACCACTTGAACCTTTCTTTGCACATCTAATAGTATGAGTCCCTCAACATAACATCCACTAAGTAAAGCTGTGTTGTTGGCTCTCTGCCAATAACTTTACAAAATTGGGTCCTCTAAAAATGCTAACAACTCAAGTGTGGATCAAAGTACACACAAATTCATAACTACTGTACATTAGTTTAAAATAAATTGATTCACATGAGTTTGTACTTCTCCTTTAATGTACTTACCTATGATCAGACAGACTTGCATTAAAAGACTAACACAATCATGACAGTGGATGGATTGGGCAATAAAGTAAAAACAGCTTTTTTGGCGATAGTGGAGGTTAAACACTATTATTAAGAATTGCCTGCACATGAATTACTTTTTTTCTTTTTACTTATTTATCTACCTACTATCTTTTTTTTTTTTTATATATATGTATACTTTCTGCAAAAGACTAAAGCAGAATGAAAAGCTCAAAGCTCTACAGTGAACCCCAACAAGTAACACAGTGTCAGCCACATTGGTCTGGCATCCTATAGTACAGACAGGTTGACACAGGATATGTATATTTCCCCCCCCCCCTCTCTTTGTCTGGATATATGTCAACTAGTTGGATTTTTATAGACAATCCGGTGGGGATATGGTTATACAACTAGTACCAGCTTATCTCTGTCACACAATGCCCAGTATGATAACCACTCCACCACCAGATGAAAAGAAGGACTCACAGAGAAGTGTGAAAATAGAGTTGGTGAAAAAATATAAATTTTAAATTTTAAGACCTATAAGACTTACAGGAATTTTTGTTTGCCCAAAATTAATATTTCAAACAAACTAAATCCTCAATCTTGTTCATATATATGTTAATCTTTAACAGAATCAGAAGAAATAGATACCATAAATATTTTTCCAAGATTCTCTACCATAATTATCATGAACACTACAATATTTATATAGTACAGTAGTTTTTTTTTTTTATTAAATACACATCAACAATGTTTTTGTTTTTTTTAGATGAGAATCAAACACCAAAATTATTTGATACTAGATTCTCCCCCCCCCCTTTTTTTTAAGAAAATTTAATCACCACAACTCTGTTCATTTTGGTTGTACTGTAACTATATTTATCTCTTAAAATTATATTTACATACTGTATCTGGTACAGTAATTTACCAAAACTTTCCAACCTTATATCAATTCCACCTAACAATTAGTAATACAGATTTAGAAATAATAAAAGTGGTAATAATCCCCAACTCTAAATCAATATGAAGAGCCCATTCTTCCCTCATTATGTAATTTTTTCACTTTTAAATGAAACCGAGTTTCCGAATACGTATCTGTCAACAATTCTATACAGTACAGGGTATCAGTTAAGTCATAATATGCAAGATACAGTTTGTCTACATAACCAGTACAGTAGTACAGTACAGTATATAAAAAACACACTAAGTGCATAAGTTACAAAGCACTACACCAAAAGCAATTTACTATATGATGTTCGAACATTTTCACTTTTTTTTTTCAGCAGATGGACCTTTTAATACCTTTTACTGTAAATATATAATATCTTGCATGTTTTTTGCCACTGTGTTGTATGGTGGCCGTATATGATCTATAACTTTCTTTGGGTTACATACTATCTAAACCTTGGTTGCAAAATCTCCAACTTCTACTTTTTTTTTTCTTTTTTTTTTTTCATACACATCATAAACATTCAAGAAAAAATTCAGTTTTTATGATGATACACTTATTCATACAGGTATACTGTATATACAAATTCTCATAATTATACATTTCAGTGGACACATACTTTCATGGAGATGTATACGTACTGTATATCTTCATGACAATGTATGTTTCTATGAAGATATGAGTCTACCTTTATATCTTTAAAGTTTAGTCACAATATGTCAACCTCTACCTACTCTAAAGTCAGAGGTTCATTGTCTATACAGTACAGTACACACACACACAAAATCATTTTTCAGAAACATTAGGAAAACCTTAAGACATTGATTTAGATCATAAATATTTTGTGATATTGTGAATAAAACAAATTGTTTACTTATAGGATATCAGGAGTTCCAACAGCTTTTCTGGAATATGTTCTGGCCTCCTCTGTTGGGTCTTTTACTATACTAAAGTAGTAAACAGAATTTGAAGAATGTATAATTTATAATTTTCCAAACTCCATTCCACTTTTTAAAAGTACTGTACAGTATATAATGCTTGACTGAATATTCTTAAATCACTACAGAAAATATTCAAATATTTTATATATATTTTTATATACCAGTACATCACCATACTGACACATTTTATTTATTTTTTAACAATGTATAATGTACAGCAGTTTGTATTATTTTTAGAACTTTTGTTATAATTGCATGTAAAGAATATACATTTATACTACACTAGGATACTGTACAAACATTTTGTAGCACACAGCTTCACAATACTAATCTTTTCAGCATTCATATCACTTTTGACATTTAGAGTAAGTAAGAATTAATTTGAAATTACACATATTTCACAGTCATGTTTGTAGAAAAGAATCATCAACTCTTCACAAAAAAGCAACACATTAGACTGTCTAACTTTTTGATACTCAATTGCATTCCAGGTATACCAGTGTCCAAAATGGCAAGCAGATCCTCTAAACTCATAGGCATTAGAAATAACAGTAATATCAAGTTTAACACAGATGCTACATTTATCAAGAGTGTCACATTCTTGAATCTTAAATCAAAGTCAGACTAGTTTCCTGTTGTAAAATTACACTTCAAACTTCATGAACTATAAGTGTTATTTGCCCCCCCCCACCCCCCACACACACACACAAAAATATTCACATAGCATTTCTTTCTATTTTACAAAGCTATTACACCACTACATATACTTTGATAAACAAATCCCTATGTATTCTTTACGTCTGTGAACCTAAAAATCAATGTCAACTTTGAACTCATAAGCTTGAACTTTTTGTTTAAAAACATAAACACAAAATTCCAAAAACACAATCATGCCAATTTTGAAGCCCTGGTATGATCTTGTAGTGACTCAAGAATAACTACACATAGTTCTCTACTCGTATTTAAACTGTCATAGATTATTGTAATGTAATGTAACTTAACAGATGCCTTGTACATTTTTGTATTGCCCATGAAATTGTAACTAGTTGTTTTGTTGTAACTGTGGTTGAGTTGACTGGCTGACGTGGCTGAACTTGGTTCGAGACTTGAGCCGAGACAGCTTCGTTCAGTCAGCCGGTATATATACTCGTGGGAGGCCTCGGAACACTCACTCACTCTCACTCCGCGCTTGAGCACAGTTCTCCTCGCCACACAAAGAAACTTGCAATCGCAGCCTGAGTTTTCTTCCTGGATCCAGTGCTACAATCTCTTTAAAGAATTAATATTTCACTGATTTTCAGTACAACTATGAGCAAAAATGCAAATAGTTTCAATTCATGGCACATGAAACTTGATGAGCTGTGCCTCTTTACTCACTGAAGTTCACTGTCTGCTGTTGAATATTCAATTAGAAATAACTGAACAAGACCCTCAAACCATCAGGATCAAATGCAATGATTCATTAAATGGACAGAAGACTGACTTAAGTTAAAAATCCTCCAGAAAAAGGAATAATGACTGAATAAAGTAAGACTAGTACAGTAGGCATACTGGAAGGACTTTTCAAAATAAGAGATTGTATAACAACAAAAGCCTATGAGTCATAGCGTCTACATAGTATTATGAAGCTGTCGAAAACACAATCAAGTCTCTATAGAAATTCAATTTGCAGCACAATAATCCAACTGTAAGCTTTAAGATACGTACAGTACTAGCAACAGAACAATGCCACAGTAACATTTCATAATTGTGCAAAACATCAACTAATGATACTACAAATCACCTACCACCAATCCTAAATACTATTGTATAAAAACAATAATGATCTACTCTAAAGATAAAATCATGATACAGTAGTACAGTATTTACTCATGCACCGCATTACTTACAACACATTGATATTACCTCAGAGAATTTTCAAAGCATTTTTATCTACGCAGGTGCTCCTCTACTTACGAACGATTTACGTTCCTGGGGCTTGTTTGTAAGTCCAACTTTACTCTTGTAGATACCAAACATATTGTAAAAAATGAAAAGATTGTGGATATTTAGTACAGCTATACCCTTTAATACAACCTTAAAACCTGGCTCACTCTTCTCCTCTTAGGTAATGTTTGTTCTATCTGGAATTTTCTTCAAAATAATCCAGTCTCATCCACATTAAACACCTGTTCTGGCAGGTAACCCCCCTCAGTGATGATGTTTGTATCTCTAAAAGTTTGTAAGTTGAACGTTCTTAAGTAGATGAGCACCTGTATATAGTATAGATGTCCATTATGGATCTAATTTTAATATTTTTTTTCTTTTTAAAATGGTAACTACATATATACATACTACGTAAAAAGATATTAGTGATTATAATGTTTGAAAAGGATCATGGTTAAAATTCTATGGCAGGATATTTTCTAAAGCCAAGAAAAAATTTAAATATTATACAAAATTGCTACTAATAAGTTCTATGTGCAGTTTAGAGCTTTGCATTTTTCAAAGTACGGTAAGCTTAATAGTTAGTAACATCATATCTAGAGCACAACACATTTATCCAGAGAAATAGCCTCAAACAAATACCTCCTATCTTACCAACCTTCCCATATCAATCAAGGACATTGTTTACAGCATTAAACTTCCATCAATAAACATTTTCTTTATCAGAAGTATTATGACAGTTTTCATTTTGGTATTTCATGTGAGAATAAAACAATGACATCACAGCACCTAAATTGTAAAACCCTTTGATGTGACAAATGACATTACAATAATTCCCACACCTTTCACAAACTTATGTCAAAGAATACCTCATGTCTGCTATTAACACAATAATTATGTAACAAAAACAGTCCTCTCCAAATGAATCAAGTTCATTCATACATTGTTTCATCTTCAGCATACAGTACTGCACGGTTTTCATGTGTGTGTTTTCCATTAGGATTTAAGTATAAAAGTTTTCAATCAATATCTAAAAATTATACAATATACTGTACCTGTATTTTTGTGTTCTAGCATTATCACAATCAGATTCATCTGTATCTGTACATATTGTACCTGTACAGAAATTATTATATCCTCTAATGTTTATGTAATGGCTCACTAGGAAGTTCAACACTTTTAACTTCATGAAAAATAATAGGTCACCAAGTTGCTCCAGACATTTCAACATAAAGAAGAGGTTAATCAGTGTAAAGTTCTTCTTCAGCAATATACCATGATACTTTATAGTTAGACAATGAACAAGACATTGGATATGATTTTAGTTGTACAGCTGGAAGCAAGATATTTGTACAGTATTATGCCTTTTTAACTTATAATAAATACAATAATATGCAGATGATTGCACTCATCTGTTTTTCTTACTGAAAATCTGAATTTGTATATTAGATTTTTTACCTACTTTTTGTGTTTGCCTTGGGGGCTGACTGTGATAGGTATGAGGCAACAGATATTTTAAAAAGTTGGTGTATGTTATTAACGAAAGGTATAAGTATTCCTGGTAAATTCATGGAAGGTATGGGAATTACTGTAAATGGCACTGAAACCATAAAACAAGGACGTGAGATTTTCAAAACGTTTACAGCCAAAAATATCTTATATACCAACTATCATGCAAATTGGAAAAGTTGTTTGAAAAATCCATATAAATTATCTACAGTACTAAAATCAAACCAATGATGTAATGGATATATGCTGATCCCACTTAAAACATAATTTACTCTGAATTACATAAAAAAATAAATAAAAGTAAAGCCAATGCACACCATAGTAAATCTTAAAAAATTAGCTTGAAGAACACCAATATTTTTAATAACTTTGGAGTCTATGTGCAAGCATACCATTGCTTCTTCATTTGACAACCTACTCATCACTTCATAACTCATACAAGTTCTTAAGATAAATTAACATATCTGCTGTTTATGGTAAACCTGACAATCATTAACCTTAACATATTAAGGCAAACACCTGGTACAGTACAGTACTCATTTCTCCACATGCCAGTAGGTTGCCAAGTTATTTGGTATACTGTAGTTCTAAGTATAATCAGGTAGAACTCACCAACACTCAAACGCAGAAAAAAGTTATTTTACGTTTCAAAGCTCTGTAAATTTTAAGATCAGGATTAAATAATCAAATGAGCCAAAGTAAAAAAAAAAATATTTAAAATTGGCTAAATATAAAATGGTTATTTACACTTATACTATAAAATCCCTCTAATGAAAGTTATCATAAGCAAAGCTGCCAGGCCTTTTTTTTTTCTTTCTTTCTTTTTACTGTATTTTTTTTTTTTTGTCTACTTGGTTTCTTGGGCTATATATGTTTGCCAAAACTACATTTACAATCACATATAATTCAATATATACAAATTCCAATGTGCCAAAATATCCTACAACCTTTCACAGTAACATTTAAAAATGAGAAAATTCATGCAATGACAAAATACACTATATTATCTAACCTGAAACCTTGTAGAAGTCTGAGTAATCTTTCATATTTAGAGCTTATAAGAAGGGTTCCAAGTTACTACAGTATTGATATTAGATTAAGAAACTGTGTGTGTATGTTCATAGGAAAGATGATTGTGCCAACTTAAACTGTACAAAAATTCAGGTGTACTGGAGAGGTACAGTATACTGCACACCACTCTAACCAAACTGAATTTGCATGTAAAAATTTACGTGCAGGGGTTCAGAGCTGGCATGACACTGATATCAAAGCCCAAAGACACACAAAAACATCTTTACATACAGGGTCGTCCAATTTAAGTGAACCATGTTGAAAATGAAATGAAAATTCATGAAATGGACAAAATCTGTATTTAAGCAGTTTGCAAGTTTCTAAAAACCCTTGGAAACAATAGTTATTAATGTTAGAAAGTTATGTCATCCAAATGTGCACCCCTCTTCGCAATACACTGCTGCAGTCATTGGCGAAAGTTGTGCATGACTCTACGAAGCACATCTGGAGAAATGGCATCAGCTTCCTGTTGAATTCTAGCCTTCGGGTCATCAATATCGTGGAATCGATGAGAGTACACCTTCTCTTTCAGAATCCAAGGCCACCTGCCACCAACTGCCACCCCGCTTCTTCCTCCCACTCAAACCCTTACCCAGTGTTGCCAACCTGAAACTGGTTCACTATAATTGGACCACCCTGTACATATACAGGTTCCAAAAATAGTATCTTGCAAACTTTGTATCCCTGCTATATTCCTTTATGTGACCAAAAACAAATTAATTACGCCACATTCACATACTCAGAAAAGAAAGTTAAAAGCATGATAAGTTATGGAACTAATAATACTTACAATGCTCACATATAATGACTGAATCAGGGGGTTGTAGTATAAACATGACTGGAGTCTGGAGATATAAAGACCTGTAGAATGAACCACAATAAACAAGAAAAACTTTTGGAAATCTTCATACCACAACACAAGAATTTTTGACAATTATCTTCTGAAAGATGGGGAAAAGAAACTATCCTCATAAATGAAGAAATATACAACATGTCAACTGCAAGTACATCCTGACTCAAAAATGTTACAAATATTTCAACATATAATTGAAGATATAACTGGATAACAAGTTTAATTTTTTTTAGTCTACTGGACTCTAAAACGTAAAACTGACATGTAAATCCCTTTATAATAATCCATTAAAAAAATTTCATTGATAATAATTCAAGTTTGACATCATTCTTCCCATCATATTTGCACACACACAAAAAAAATGTAAATACAATACCAAAATACAGTACATGTTTCAATACCAGAAAACTGAAATACAGTACAGTACAGTACGTATAGTGTACGTATAAGTAAAAGTCATAAACATATGATGCAACTACTCCCCTTTTATGATAATATTAATATATATGCCATCATTATAAAAAATTAATTAAATTAATAGTTATATTCACAAACATATGATCCCAAAACCAAAGTTAATATTACAGACGTCGCAGGGCATATAAATGATTGAAAACCACTGATATCCTTTATGCTACTTCCATTCTGTATGCAGTTGTTGTTTCCCTTGCATGTACAGTCAATCAAAAAACTACCTGTTGTCTCGGTTGGGTTGTCAAAATCCTTCGCCCGATGTGTAAAATTGTTGAACACAATTTTGTTAGGATAGTTTTTTGATTAACTGTACAAACTCAGGTCCCTGGATAACCACATGCTGGGCTTAACTAGAGTCCCATGAGTAATCTGTCAGGCCCAGGAATTAAACATAATCTGCTGAGTCCTATGTGTTTTTAACATGAAATATTATTCATGTACCACAGTTTATTCTTAACTAGGACCTGTATCCATTAAACCATAAAACACATCCTCAATTGATAAAATGCATTGGTTCAACAGACATTGGTTTTATTCATATATGGTATATGGTACTGAAACAATAGAGCATTCAGAACATTCAATGATAATTTTTCTCCTTCCCTTTTACTATTTACTGCTTACAAAACAAGGAAGAGCTTCTTCACCCAAAGATGGGGAAAGCAAAAAAGATTTCTTTGAGATTCACAAGTCACAACCATTTGTCCTGTGGAAGTTTAGCAATTAAGCTTTGGTTTCTTTTCAGAAGATATCATGTGTATGACCTAATCTATGGAGAAAATTTTTTTGCAAAGTATTTTCATTCATATTTTTGCCTTGTTAACCATGAATAATAAAGGTTTTTAAAGGATATGTATATTATTCTAGGACTAGCATCCTTAAGTTACGGCCATCCACTTCCTTTTTCCTGCTATTCCAATATACAGTACATAACTGAGGTTTCTGAGTGGCTGTAGTCAAAGATCAAATCTAATGCATGGTTTAATTAAACAGGGGCAGCCATCAACCATCCAGAAACTTAACATGACCATACAGAGAGGTCACCAAACACAGTTCAGATCAATCCAACAACTTGATAACTTACTTTATTCCTCGATTCTTGATAAATTGTGACAAAAATCTAATGTGAGAGGTCATAAAGAACTTCACCATATGTACCGTAAGTCATAAATAAGGGATTGAATCTGAAACCCCAATTTATGGCCAAGTACAGAGCAAGCAATTCCAATTCCAGTTCAGTGTTGAAAGCCTATGATTGAGCCCCGAAATGACTAGTGCAAATTAGATATGCATATTTAACCAACTAATCCAAATAATAAATCCTGAAGCAGTCATCCTTCTCTAAAGCAATCACGGGACCCAAGAGGATGATAATTGGAAGAATTAGTTTACCAACAGACTGAATGTTTAGTCTTACCATTGTTCAGCAATAGCCATAAGACCCAAGGTTACCACATTTGAGTATTTCTAGGGGAGCTGGGAGAGAATATGAGTTACCTGATGTGTGCTCAGCTTTAAACTGGGATTTCAGTGTCAATCCCCTATTCATAGCCTAAGCACATCTTAGGTGATTCCAGTTACCCAAAGCATGCAAGAAACAGGGGGAATGGAGGTGAACAAAAACTCCACATAAAAGTGCAACTCATATCCTATATACTGGGAGATGACTAATGAACGAGGAAGAAGGCATCTGGTATTGAAAGTTTACATCTTCAGTCCAACTTTATCCATTGCCATCCGAGCCACTAAATTAACTAGACTAAAATATAAATTGTATTTATTCTCCTTCTGTATAGAAAACTTAGCCTTAAATGAGTACAGTGTATCCCAATGCAATAAAAAAATCAAACAAAGTACTGTAAGTACTACTGGTGTTTGGCACAGATAATATTAATTAAATTCTAAGATGTCATTATTTCAAATGAGACATTAGAAAACTCAGATATTTTCAAACATTCAAATAGACGATGCATTGAAAATCTCCAACAGATATTATAAACAACAGTTACTGGCAATCTTCTGAACTAAAAAACAGGCAAACAACAATTACTAGCAGGCAAAGTGGGAATAGATTTACAAAAATGGATTATACCTCTACTTAGGCAAAATGTGCACAGGAGGTCCTCGTTATAAGGGTATTCATTATCCGCAGTTTCGCAGTTAAGTGGTCAACTTTTTATGACCATCCACGTAAAAAGTCCCCGCATTTAAGAAGATTCCACTTAAAAACTCCGAAAACTCTGGATAAAATCTACAGATTTTTAGATGAAGAGTTTGAAATTTCATCCTCTTCCTGGCGTCATGCATGCACACACGTGTCCCTGCTCCAATCTCCCACTTTGTTTCGTCCAGACCAGTGCTGTGTTGTGTTTACTCCTGCCTTTGTTGTATCTTTTCATGTATGTTGTGGTGAATTATTTTATCATTTTTGTAGCCATGAGTTCCCAACCCAAACAGGGTGGTGCAGCACTCAAAAGGAAGCACATTAGCTATAGTATAGATGTAAAATTAGAAGTGATTAGGCAAAAGAAGATGGGATTCGTTATCAGAGGCATTTTTCTGGTACCAATTAACCACGGATAACGAGGACCCCCTGTATTGCCCACTGCAAGTAAAGCAGTAATGAGTCCCCTTAAGATTTGCAATAACCATACCATATCAACCTCAGTCACTACTTAGAACATTTCAGTGTCTGTTCAACCACATCAAATTAAAAGGAGCCTTTATGGTATATGACACAGTGAAATTAGAAAAAAGATTTGCAGAGCTAACAAGTACATATCAGTAATACCCACTATGTAAATATGAGCAAATAAGGAACAAGGAAAAGGATAACTGAGAATAGAGAAAACATGGGAAGGATGTAGTGGACAATCTTTTGTCACAGTAATCTTCTCAGACATCATAAACCAGTGTTAAGTACTCATTGGAAACCAGAAATGGAAACTAGTGAAGGGTTACGGCATTATAGCTGCATATATGACGATCACAAAGCATTCCTAAATGGGTAGTGGTAAGACTTCCATGCCATCAAATTTCAGGTAAATTAATACTTCCAATTTGTACCATTTTGAGGTTTATTTTCTGAATTGGTTAGCTAAATAGCCGTGTCTATTTAGTGCGAGTCACACACATCAGTGCTCCAGATCCTTGTTTTTCAACCCTGTGACATTGAATTCTAACTGGAGTCACCCAAGAAGTGCTTAAGCTATTAAATTACAAAAGGAAAAAAAATAATGTAAGGACCTTAAAGAAATACTCAGATCCAGAATAAATAAAACTATTATGATTACTTAATGATGAATAAAATAGGATTACCCGGTACAGTACATAAATTAAAAATTTATGTCAACAAGCTAAATGCAACCACACTCAAGATAAAAGACAAGAATGAATAAAATTCTATTTGCACCTTAAAAGATATTACATAATAAAATGAGAAAATAAAATAACCCTAACTGGATCTAAAAGAATCCCAAAAGGATCACATATGAAGAATCTGCCTCAAGCAAGAGTGATACTGCGTGGTACATATTCCAGGACAAATGATCAGTTAATACCAGGAAATATAACATGACCTGTAAAAACATATGGATATGGCACAATCATCACTTGCTAAAAGATGTTTGCAAATATTAATGGCAAGATTCTCTTCTAAACTTCAAACAGAGATTCAAAAGTTGTTCTTTCAGGATAAACTAAAATTATTCACTACAGTATATCAACCAAAAGTTGGCTTTCCAACAATTTAAAAAATAAATAAATAAATGCAGATATCTTAGAAGACTTTATGTAAGAGAATTAGAAGTGGCAGTCATTAAACACAAATTTCATACTTCTATTGGACAAACTAAAATTAAAAAACGTCTTGGTATCTGTAGTTCTGATAATTTGTGATTTCCTGATAATATTTTCACATAATCACATTCTTTATGGAGAACAATTTGAATGGTGACTATCTTTAATGATGGGTGATACAAGCTTGTTTGGAATGATAGGAAAAACAACTTTGAGGCTATGGAAGGGAGTACCACAGTAGAACATGTCTTGATACCAGTAATATATTACCCTTCATGCACACCTAGTTATTATATAGACTTTAAAGTATAGAAGATAAGTTGTTCTTTACCTCAAGACTAGACCATATGCACTGCACAAAAATTTTAGTTTGTGGGGTAGTTCAAGTGACACCCTACTTAATGTGTTGTTACTGCAATTGAGATGCCACTAATCATGAGTTTTCTTTAATATGTGTTAACTTATCTAAGCATTTAGTTATTAAATTAAAATAGAAATATTAAGATTGTAATTTTTCAAACATTTTATAATGAAAATAAAACTAACACTGAAACATGATATTATTTGCATAAATACAGCAGCCACCAGACCACAAAATTAAACTATTTGTCAAATATGAGTTGATTCTAACAAACCTAACCTAACTACCTAACATTCTTAGAATATTTCTTAGTTTAGAAAATGTATTTCTTAATTTAGGTAGGATTAAGAAAAGTATGGAAATCCCAAAATACTTAAACTGTAATTCCGAGGCTGGATATGGGCTATTAATGAGGAAAGGAGTAACTTTCTTTCTGTACAATAAAGTCTTTAAAATAGTTAGTTCATGTATGCAAGAATGGTAAAATAACATCCACATCTTTTACAGAAGTATGAATGATAATGAGTAAAGGGAAAACATGCTTGTGTATTTTCTATTGTTTTGGGCCACTGTACTGTACCTTAAATGGGAGAGGTCTTGAACTACTGTTGCACCACTAAAACAATATCTCTTACTAAATAAACAGACCTATGTTTGTAAATTAATAAGCACCTGGATGGATCAAATTCTACAACTCACAACACTGCATGTTACATTCGTGACTTTTCAATGACAGTTAAAACTATATATTTCCTCGGATTGTTTACAATAACCATTAAATTCAAAATAAAACCAATATCCTCCAAATGCATGAACCAAATCTTTTTAAATACAATAAACCTATTCTTTAAAATCAATAACTCTCAAAACAGACTTTCTATGATTAATAGAGACAGGTTACCATAAAATAATCTTCAAGAAGTAAAAATATTAAATTTAGTCATTAACCAAATTTGTATTTTTGTCAATTATAATTATACAAGAGAAATAAAAAACAGTACATGGAGTGCACAAGGTTATATAGTAAATCAGTTCAGAATAATACGAGTGTAATATTTATATTCTTCAAATGCTTCATGCTGATAAAAAAAAAGCCCCAAATTCATATCACATCCAAACCAGAATGGCTTTTTATGTTTACTGAAATGTTAATAATTGTGTCAATCATAACTAAATACTGATATACTCCAATTAACTGCAACAGAATAATTACTACTATACTGTACACCCCAATAAGTTTTCTGAATAAAATAATTACTGTATTAGTATACTGGTCCCAGGATGATAAGTTAAAGGGGAGATAACATCAGGTACAAACTTTTAAGGAAACTCACAATAAATATCTAAAATTTTCTCCTTAAGGTTGAGCAGTGCTAATTTTATGAAGTTTTTGACATTTGAAATTTATCATCACATTAAAAAGTAAACTCAAGATTTAACATAGTATAATAACAAAATCTTAATAAAATCAATTACAATTATTAAATAAATTGAAGTGACAGGTGACACATCATGTCCCCAGATATAAAATGTTTCTTAAATATGTCAGTTTACACAATAAATTACTGTATTCTGACAAATATTTTTACACACTATTCACACTTTTTTTTGTACTTTTATTTCCTAACAAATACATTTTATCTAATGAATGAATTCTGGTCACTTGCAGCTATTATCATGCATCTAAATACAGCTAAATGTAATTAGTATAAAATATGCTTCATGCATTTCCTGTAATACCTAAATAAATACTGACAGTAAAAACATCATAGAAGAATGGCAAAATTGTACCTTGTGCTTTAATGCACAACAATATTAGGGAAAATACTGGTAGAGATGATTATTTGATGTATACATTTTTTTCTCTGTTAAATCCTTTAGAGAAAAACCTGAATCATCTCTTTTATCTGTACCCGATGGCTGAAGTGAAGACCGTAAAACACCAGCATAAGTTTTATTGTCTTGGCTGTTGTGTGCATCATTATATGCACCTGATTGCGATAATCCAAGAGAACTCGATATATTTTTCAGACCAAATTCTCCATGTGAAGATACAGAAGGATTTATATTATCACCACTAGAGTGCCACGTAGATGAAGCCGAGTTTACTGACTGTGAATTGTGAGGAGAGTTTCGGACACTACCAGTTGAAGTCTCTCGGCTGCCACGTCTTAGATATAGCGGAAGGCTGGGAGTTCGATAACCAATTGGATTAACATCTCTAAGATCTAACTGTGCCATGGGATCCACTAATCTATTTAATCCACTAAATCCAGGGGGTGGTGGAATTTCTCCCCTTTCCCTAACAACTGTCTCTTCTCTTTCTCTATTTGCCACTGGTTTCTCAGTTTCTCTATTGGTGAATGCAGGTCCTCCCGGTCCTCCTGGCGCCCGAGAGACCACAGAACCCGAGAAGTTGACACCGTGGTTCTGATGCCGACTGTGTAAAGAGGCCTCCAATTCTTGCACAGTCACTATTTTTCCTACATTAGCAGGGTTTATGGACCAAGGATTTGTACCATGATGACGGAAATTTGGATTTGGGGGTCTCATAACACAAACTGGATTTCCTGACCAAGAATCTAGTGGTGGTCGACACATACCTTGAATGGGATCTACCGGTACCCTGCTTTCCATGTCTGATTCACTTGCATTCCACTGGTTAGGAGTCTTGGTGGGAGAATGGTCACCAATGAGCTCATCAATAATCCGTACGACATCTGGAACTTCAGGAGCTGGGAGAGTGGAGTCCTCAGATCCAACATTACCATTGGATTGGGGATGCACCTGAAGTATAGGCGGCTGTCTCATATGTGCCAGTACACGAGACTGCAACTCATTCTGTGGCTGATTTAGCTGATTAACCACAAGACGATGTTGTGCCTGTGACTGCGTAGAAGCTTGACCATCACTAGTACTGGAGTGAGAACTGGAATAATCAATAATGCTATTTCTTACAGTACTGTATACAACATGCATATTGATTTTCTAAACATATAAACCATCAACTTCTGACACACTTGAATGCCTCACAATATATATGTATGGCATTTCCTCATAATCATGCACTAAAATTGTAAATAAAATATCTCATGAATTCACCCTTTACTAATTTTGTGAGTACAGTGGTCCCTCGGTTAACGAAATTTCGGTTAACGAACTGCCTCCCATAAGATTCTTAAATTCGGTTAACGAAATTCTTACGAACCGACCTCAACATGTTTTCGCTTGCACTGGCTGGTCAACCAGCTTTAGTATTAGTCCGCCAATACATTAATCGGTTCTAGGGCTTAAATTCCTTACTATTTTAGTAAATATCAAGAAGTTTATACTATTCAATAATTTTAAAAGTTTAATATTCAATTTTTTAGTCATTTTAACAATTATTGAACATAATTGAAGGTAAAGTGACTAGTTTAATGCGCGGCATCCAGCCTCTTAACACAGCAAACAGGCGTAAGTCTCTCTCTGTTTTCACTGGAGGTAACATCTTGCTTGAGACTCTCTTTAACTAAACGCTTTTTTCTGTGTTTCCAAGCAAATTATTGGTCATTTTGAAATATATTTTACATATTGACAATATATAATGCAGTGCAGTGTTGATTTTAAGAAAATAATTTTGAAATACACCAAGAGAACTAAAATTTTATGGGTGAGATGGTGCCATGGGGTGACTTCTCTTCCACCCCAATGCCTTCTCTTCTTCCTTCTCCTCCACCCCCATTCTAATTCCCATCATCATCATCCAGGAGCCTTCTACATACACACCTCAAAGTAAGTGAACTTTTCTACCATTTTTGTTGAATTTAGGCAATTTTCGGTGAGCTGGAACCAATTACCCAAAACCCATTGAAACAATGGTTTCGGTTAACTGATTTTTCGGTTAACGAACAACCTGCTGGAACGGATTGTGTTCGTTAACCGAGGGACCACTGTACTCCCAATTTATTTCTACTTAAGTGAAATTGATCAATATCCCCAAGTTAAAACTATATGGAGTGAGGATAATACTTTTCAATAATCTACCCATGTACAGTTAGCATAAAATTATTGTAACATTTCCTGAATGAAAGGTCTCACTTCAGTACACAATGGTGAAACACTTCAATTAGATGTCCAATTGATTAGTGTGTGAGTTGAGTTAAAAGTTATACAAATTAGGTAACTAGTACTGTACAATAAACATGGGATATTGAATTTATACAGATATTTAATTGGAGCATGATGTTAGTACAGTAAAAGTCCAAAAATCCGGATGGCAGGAATCCGGACCACCCGAGAATCCGGACTTTTCGAAAACTCAAACTTTTTAAATTTAGCGGGCTTTTGTGGGTTATGAGAATGAATGGAGTTGCTTTAAAAAATTAATTTACATAATTCTAATAATAAAAGTAATTGTAAATTATAGGTAGGTAATTTTGTTAGTTTTGTAATTAGCTTGAACTGAAATGTAAAATTTGAGGCACTATAAATCTTTTGTGTGTATGTGTGCATGCGTGAATGCCACAGCTGCACAGCGACAACAAACGACCACACGATTGCCACTTTAAAACAAGCAATCAAACTGTGACAACGTATGTAATTTTTGAGTCCTACTCTTTCCATGTACAGAGTACAAGCCCATAATAATGGCCCCTAAAGTAGATAAACTTCGTTGTGTGAAGAGAAAGAAGAACACATTGAAATTGAGTGACAAACTTAGAAATAATTAAGAAACTAGAATGTAATGTGAGCAATGCTGTTCTAATGGAAACATACAACATTGGAAAGTCTACAATTTATGATATAAAAAAGGCAAAGAATAAAATTCTAGAATTCACAGCTTCTTCTGAGCCTTACATTAAAATTGCTGAAAGAAAAAGTTTACATTGGCCCAAATTAGAAAATCTTGATAAAGTGTTGCACGAATGGTTTTTGTTAAAACGATCAGAAGGTATGGCAATTTCTGGGCCGATGCTTATTGCCAAAGCAAAGTCTTTTAAGGAGCAAATGAACATTGAATCAGAGTGCGCATTTAGTGATGGATGGCTTAGGAATTTCAAGACTCGTCATGGTATTAGACAGTTTGTTTACATTTTTGTCTAGTGTCGACTTTATTTTTCTTTAAAACTGCTCGTTTTGATAAATGAAGCATGCTTTATTTGCTAATGAATAAACTATCAAAATGTACCTGTTCATCTCTTCTTTATTCCTCCTTAAATTTTAATTTTAAAAGTACTGCCTGAGAATCCGGAAAATCCGAAAATCCGGACCGACCCAATCCCCAAGCAGTCCGGATTTTTGGACTTCTACTGTACTAATAAGATAGAGAATAACTTAATAAATGAGGTCAGGAAGTGAAAGAAAATGTAAAATAGGCTTTTTGGGGGATCGTAGGAACTTTGGGTTTAAAAAATAACTAGTGTCACCCAGAGGATGATTATGAGAAGTGAAGGTGCTAGTACTGTATTTTTTATGAAATGTACAATATTTATTGTTTAATTAATCAGTTTTGGAACATTTTTTTTTTGGGGAGACTCTGGAACCTACAGTAACTAATTTTTACCATTTAAATTAATTAAACTATACTGTAATTTGACAATTAATGATGTCTTCCAGTACCTAACCAATGAATCATCACGACACCACTGTACTGCCTAAACCTCTGACATAAGGGTACACAAACACATCATGAATAAATATTGAATCAAATTCTCTTCAAAAAATGAAACACTTACCTTTCTCTGGAATGTGTTGACAGTGGTGATTCAGTCTGTCCTCGAGAGCGTGTTGACTGTGAAATTATAGATGATGGATTGGATGAAAGCTGCCGTTCTGGAAAATGCACATTGTTCAAGAATTGGAATGATTTTTCTCCTTCACTCTGTGCTGTTACCCTACCAAGCTGGGGTGTAGGAACAGCTATAGAACGACCAAAGCGAGTACATCGCATTCCAGGAGGCTGGGTCAATATGTTTGGAGGAGCTACTTGTTTCATGTTTTGATAAGGTGCAGGCAGTGCTGGCATGAATGTGTTGCGGTTGAATGGGTCTAGCTCAGCTGGTCTTCTTATTGGTGGAATGCGGTGAGGAACATTACCAGGCTGGTATGGATACACTGGCAAAACTCCCGGATGCAGTGAATAATCATACCCATGTGGATCCATGTAAGGTGCAGGTGCTGCTGTGACCACGGTTGGACGTAAAGAATGGGACGCAATTAGAGGTTGACCAAGCCTACCAGGTTGGGGTCTGGCTATTTGTGTCTTGGGAGCTGGGTTATAATGCACTGGAGACCACTGAGGAGGCATAGGTGCTTGGTGAATGTAAGGTAATGCTTGAGGTCCCATAACAGGGTGGATAGGGTAGGTGGGGATGTAGGAATTATATGAATGGTACATGCCAACATAAGGTGGTATAGCTGGCACTACTGGTAGTGGTGGTAGTGGAGAATAATAAAGATAACGAGGAATAAACTCTGGCGCTAATGGGTTCAACACATAAGTTTTCTTGAATTCGACACCATCCAGCTGTCCCCGCAAAGCAGACCAGGAGATGCCATATAAGGAACCAGCCTCAGAACACAATTGCAGAAATCTTTCCCATAGTTTTCTGTGGGAGGATAAGTATAAAAAATAAGTGTGTTACAGACCAATCTAAACAGAGAGCATATCATCAACATCAAACTCTGCTGATATATATCTTAGGTAAATCATCATCATCATCATCTGGTAATAGTAATATATTGCCTCCAGTAATACCACAGTTAGCACTACCCCATAGAGCAGTTTGTTATAGTGCTCTTGCTTGCATCTTGGAGCTCTAGGAAATTAAAACAAACACTGTAGTAAAAAGTCATGAGTCAGAACACTCACAAGTGCACTCTGTACATCACGGGTAGTTAGTCTCATTCAACTCACGATAAAATAATAACTATTCATAGTACAGTACTAACTTCCAGTTTTCACAGTTCACTAGGAGGGGGATTGAGCTGTACGATAAAAAAAATTAACCCTCTAGCTTAAAAAACAAAAAAGATATGTTTGTTTGAACTTCTATAAACTTTAAACTCATTTTTCTCAGCTTTTTTAATTTGGCGCTTCACCCCCTTCTAATGCGGAGCGCCTCATATACACTCCTGGTAAATTTAAATATTTAATAAAAACAAGACCAACATATATCAATCTTTGGTCCATACATTACCTCAAAACACAATAAATAAATAAGTGAACTTATACATTCACATCTCACAACAAACAAAAAACACTTTACAGGGTACATGTTAATTCTAATGAAAATACTCAAACTGAAACACCACACTTTCACTGTTTCACTTCATTTACAGTAAGATTTATCCAGCTTCTGAAAACACTTTATAATCTTAGATGTCTTGTATTCATAAGAAAAAATGGTGTACATGAACTGAAACTGGAAGAGATCACCAAGTGCATGCACATTCCACTCCCTCATATGACTGCTAACCATTAAAAAAAGGGACCATAATCTTGTCATTGATGGACTGGCTTGACTTCCAAAAAGTGTGCGTGTGTAAATTGCCATGTTTGGTCGGAGGTTTTAACACCAACTTTTGTTGCATGATATGCTGTACAGTGCAGAGAACACAGACACTTGTTAATTTACAAAGTGGATAATACTGTACAGTACATCCACAAAAATATGAAAAATTGTCAAAAGCTAAATCAAATTTGTGAAGAATACTGAAACACTCCAAAATACAGTACTAACATAGATGGACAAGAAACAACATACAGTACCTCATTATTGCATATGTACAAAAACTTAGATTATAACTGATAAATCATGCCTGTTTAAAAAACAAGTAGAACTGACATTGATTTGGATGCCTGGACATTGGAAGCTAAGTGACTGCTAAAGATAATCTTTCAGCTTTTTGGTCCAAGAAAAAAAATGCAAAAACATTATTTTTCTGCTAAAACAATAAAATGAATGATCTGGTTAATCACACATCTAATGAAACTTATCTTAACATAAAATCTACCAATATTTAACCTAGAGGTGATACATTAGTCATTTTTTTAATAAGTCCAACTAAAATATGAGAAAATTGGGTTGAAATAGAGAACATAATCTTGAGGGATAAATGGGTTGGAGAGTGCAAGAAAATGTATATGCTTAGAGAATGTAAATTTTCTACAGCTCTAAATGCAAAGAAAAAATTTACAATAAATGAATAATCCACAAAACCATAAAATAAAAAAAAATTAAAAATCATGAAAATTAAAATCATAAAAGCATTGTGTTCTAACCTGCATTTTCCAACTGAGCAGAGGGAAACTGGGTCTCCTACAACAGCAACCAAACTCTGAGCTCGGGTAATGGCAGTGGTTAACAGCTTGGCATTTGAGAGGAAACCAAAATCAAGTCCCTCATCACCTGCTTTGCAAGTGTGGCGTGTGCGGACAGTCGAAAGGATGATCACTCTGAATTGCTTCCCTAGAAGTTTCAAAAATCAAATATAATTAGGTATACAGTATACAAAAAAAAATGTGGAGGGAAAAGAAAACGTGACAGTTTAAGTATTCATGATTAACTAAAGATAATTGCAAGATTGGAGCCAGGTTCACAAGTACCTTTGAGTGTTGATGAATTTGTTACTGGTAAGCAAACTGTTTCCCACATCAGGAAAAACAATGAAAAACTGAGGAAATTGCTCTGATAAAACCAGTGTCACCTAAGAAATGGCTACAATTTACCTAATCATGAGGTAACAACTTGCACTCTAGCCTGTTTCCATTGTATTCAAGTTTAATAATATACCACCAGTATATCTCAGGGTATGCTCAGGATGAGTTTTTTTTTCCCTTCATCATACTTCCTGGTCAACCAAGTGTTTATTGCTCATGGCACTCAGGAGATACAAACTAATACAGCCAGGTTGATTACAAACATTTAGAAGAATCTTTCAAAGTTTCTCTTGGCTGCCTCTACTAGTCTCCCAGCAAAGTTTCCCATAATCACTGGTAACATGCTGAAGGGTAAAACAATCCTAATTAAAAAAAAAAAAAAGTCACAATATACTAACCTTGTACATTAAGAACCCTTTCCACATTGATTTTATATAGTTTGCGTTTCCTTAACTCGGCTCTAATGCGAACCATCTGATCAGCATACGGTGTTACAACCCCTATGGAAGTCTCACCAACTGGACCCCATTCTCTCTTTGGCCAATGGTTGATGATTTCTCCCACCTGTTCACACACCTCGTACACCTGAAACACACACACACACACATGAGTATATATATATATGTATCATAATACTGTACATAGGAACCAAATTAGTTGTAGGAGTCTTTTAAAGCAAACACAATATGTTTAACTTTAAATTCACCTCGGGTGCACTTCAAATTAAACTTTTCTTTCCATCCATTAATTTCTCAAAAGTTCACCCTTTCACTATACTATTTCTCAAGATCTATTTCCTATTAAATCTACCATTATTGATTCATTCTTCAATTAACAACTATACTACAAAAATACACTACATTTTAAACTTTTCTTTCTTTTTTTTTTCATCCATCCTTTTAGTCTCTGACCATCATCAACAAAATTATAATCTAATATCAATCACATCACCACACAAACCACCAACATCTAGTCCATTTATAGAGTGCATTTAGCACACTGCAATAAAGTTCTTTCTTAGTGTACTCCAACTCAAACTCTTTTCTTCTCTATTTGCTCTACACCTACACAAAGTTTATGTACATTACAACATAAACATTTCATCTTGGTCCTCTGTACATGTCTAAACCTTAAATGATAAAAGTTTACTTGTCCAAACACTTAAGATAAGTCACCAAGAAAGTATTTATCACATTAAGTTCTTCCATTAACTTTTATAATTACTACATGTGGTGGGTAATGTTGGTGACAATGATAACTAATACAGTCACATATGATACATCGAACAATGTCTCCTCATTCTCACCTTCGACACATATGCCTTAAGCCCCGGGTTAGGGTGCTGCTGGCACAGTAAACCCCCCCCCCCCAGATAAACCGAGAAAAAATCAACTTAAAAAAATAACAAATAAATAAATAAACGGGAAAATACATTCTGGAACATCACCCGGGGCATGTTGGTCGGACGTTCTGGAATGTCACCCGGGGACTAAGGGTTAATAAAAACAAAACACGTATCTGTGTACCATGATAATATGAGCAGAAATATTTTATTTTCATTTTCTCACTTGATCTTCTAAACCTGGGGTTCCCAAGCATTTTCCAGTTAGACCCCATCTAGTACTGTTGCCTATCCAGTGCGACCCCAAGTCATTACATATTCTGTATATATGATGATCCTTAGAGTAAATACGGACATTTTGATAAACGTATTTAACTACAAAAACAAGTAAGGAAAATGTATTACATAACTGAGAAGTCTAAAAGTAAACACTGGCAGAAGCAGGCTACAACTCTCTCATGCTTAATATGTGACATGTTTATATGATAATTTAATGTTCTATATCTGGGGATATAATTATATGGTTAAGCAACATAAACAGTTTTCTTAGTTACTAATATGTCAATTCAAGTTGCATTATAGTCATCATTCATATGTAACATGTGTACATTATCATTTTTTTTAAATTTGGTTAACTAGGGGGTAAAATTGTGCGATTAAACAACATAGCACACAATTTTCTAAGTTTAAGTTTGATATGTGATTACGGTAATCATTTTTTATAAATATCATTGACGGGAAAGCTGCCTCACAGACATAGGAGCTTCCAAATTTTATCAGAACCTTGATAGTTCAATTTTATCCGCTGAATGTCAATTTGATATATTACCCAAAACATTGATATGTCATCATAGATGGCAAAATTCATCTTTGCCTCGTTGTCAGCCTGTAATTCTGCTATTTTGAGGACAAAAGAGCCATAATATTTTACATCTGCCTTGAACAGAAACTGAACAAAATTTAAAGACTCGGTAAGCAACTCAGAGAATCTACCATTAAAATTTGCTGCCATTTTTTGTTACGTAACGTGTTATCAGCGTTCACCTTCCCTGGACTGACCTGACTTGACACAAGGAGAGTAACTGCATTATTCCCTTGACCATAATTTATAGTCCTGACTTAATGAGACAGCACCTGGCCCAAGTTCTTCTGTCCTGGACACCTGGACTATGAGCTCAATGGGACCCCATCAACCCCATGACCTCTATGCGACCCCTTATGATGCATCTTGCGACCCCATTTGGGGTCTCGACCCCGTGTTTGGGAACCACTGTTCTATACCAAGGAATAAATCACAACTTACTTTGATAATTTAATGCCAGTAACCTACCTCAGAATTATTGTGAAATGCTGTCGAGTTAGGATCCTGAAAGTCTTCTCCCCTGGCTGTAAAAAATGTAAGAGGATGGAACTTTGGATGGGCAGTTTGTTTCCCACTTGCTACGAGACGACCCTCATAGAACAAATCTGAGGTGTACTGGTGGAGGAAAAATAAAACAATAATGAATGATTACAGTATCATTAGAGGCTTACTGCCTTTTCAATAAAGCATTATATTTAAGTGCCATTATGTGATCTGGACAGAAAGTTGATTGCTCTAATGTTATCACAGAGAACAAATAAAATCTCTAAATCACCTACAATAAATCTTACAGTTGTAAACACACAATTTTTTGAATTTTTAATAATGGTCAAAAAATAACCCAGCAATATCTGATGAGTGACACACACCAACAAAATGATGGATAAATAGTAAACATCCACCGTTCTACCGTGTGGTTATTAAAACAGGAAAAGCCTATTTCTAGCTGTGAAATATTATCCTGTCAACAATGATCCACCCAAGGATCACTTCACACCACAGTATTTTAATATAAAATAAATAATAATTACAAATTGACAACAATGGTAATAACTTTACCCCAGCAAAAATTAATCCAGTCTCCCTCACTCTCCAAAACAAATGTGCAGTTGACTCATGGAAAAAATAAATACATTTAACTGTTGGCTATATTGGTCCCCTCTACTGAGGCGATGACAATCTTACAGGTCATGTATGACAGCACATACCAGGTATACAATGAACAAAACTTTAGTAATATCTCACCTTTATAATGGCTGAGTGTGAGCGATAATTTTCTACAAGCATTATTTTGCATGGGGAGTCTGCAGCATAAAGATCATACAAACGCTCTAGAAGAGAAGTACCAAGACCTCGCTCTTCACAAAACTTAGAGAAAACCTGTAAAAACCAAGTAATAGTTCATATTATTTAATTTTTTTACTTGATAATTAATAACTCTCCTGCTTTACATTTTCAACAAGTTTCGTTTTTCTCACACTTGCAAGCCTTCTCCTGCTTTAATGTAGGATGGCTGAAAACAAGAATAATCACAGACTCTCCCTTCATTTACTGTCATTCTTTCACTCTTACTGCTGTAAGTAGCAAATGTTCATAAAGAATATCATTCGTAAAAAAGTATAACAAATTATCCAATTTCAAGTCTGTAATAAATAAAAATATTAATAAATCATTTCATCATTACACACCTCTGGACTAAGCTGCATGTAATCCCCTGCCAATACAAGACGAGTGTCAGGCTTTGCTAAAGCCAGTGGTGTGAGGGCCTCACACTCCATAGCTTGAGCTGCCTCATCTATGAGAATGTGAGTAAATACACCTGTAACAAAAAAAGAAATGTTTTTTTATACTTTAATCTTAACAAATCCTACATCTTTACAATGCAGTCAGTAAGTAATAGAATAAACTGTACTTTAAATATTACACACTAACATCTAATATTCAAAATTTTTGCCAAACTGGCAATTTTATACAAATCCTGCTCACTGACTCACACATACACTCATTTCTTTGTGATATCACGTACCACCAAGAGTGGACATAACTACAAGCATGCCAAGTTATCATGCAGAAAGAATATAAGGAAATTCTTTTTCACACAAAGGGTTGGGAGACCTATAGAATGGTCTACCAGCCCAAGAACAATATTGGGATCCAAAATAACCCGTCAAAATTATCAAGAACAATGGAGGGATCCTACACTGGCCACCTTCCCTCATCATGGCCATTAGATAAAATAAGGCAAGGTAAATAAGGTTTATCTATATACAAAAAAAGTTGATCTGCAGAAGATGGCTATTAGGTCATCCAAATATATCTGTTTCCACTTTTATAGGCCTTTTCCTGCTATATAGTAGGGTGGCCTGAACCAAATGTAAACACAGACTTTCCCTTCATTCACTAGCCTAACCAGCCCACAATCCTTAAATCAGCTACGACCTATTGCAATCACCCCAATACCCAGCCTAATCTGTGAAAGTTTTGTGTTCGACTGGGCTTATGCTGATATTGCAGGAGTCGTAGACCCTCAGCAATTTGGCAACATGAAAACTTCCTCCACCACTCACTGTCTTGTCAGCTTTCTCGATTACATATACCGCCATTTCGAGAAACGAAAAACGTCTGTAGCTGTCGCCTTCATTGATTTCACTAAAGCATTCGACCTAGTCGACCACAATATAATCATCAACAAAGCTATTGACCTCGGGCTTCGGAGAAGTCTTATACCATGGCTTACAGACTTCCTCAGTGACCAACACCAAGCTGTACGCTTCTGAGGGGCTGTCTCCACCTTTCAGTCACTCACCTGTGGCATCCCCCAAGGTACCAAGATGGGACCACTCTGCTTCCTTATGCTCATCAATGATGCCCTAAGAGAAACCCCTGCTCGCTGGAAATATGTCGACGACTCCACCATTGGGATCAGCGTCAACAATTCTGCTCCCAACTATACCGCCCTTCAGGATTTATTGAACAGTCTCCAAAACTGGGCCACCAACAACCATGTCACCATCAACCATACCAAGACCATGGTTATGCACATCAACCTCTCCGACATTGTCCCACCTCCTTCCATTACTCTAGGTCCGAACACACTCCAGGTTGTAGATTCCACGAAGCTCCTCGGCGTCACCATAGACAACAAACTAAATTGGAAACCACACGTCAGTGAAGTTGTCAAATCCTCCAGTTTCCGTCTCCACTTCCTCTGCCGACTCAGTCCCTCGGAGTTCCTGCACCCGAGCTCCTCAGTGTTTACACAACATTCATACTTCCCAAGCTCACCTATGCCTCCCCCACCTGGTCTTCCTCCCTAAATGCCACACAACGTAAACACCTAGAAAAAGTGCAAAAGAGGGCATGCAAGATTATTCTCTCCCCTTCCTACTCCACATATCAAGAAGCGCTCAACACACTGACCCTCCTCTCACTGACCATCACCACGACCTCATCTGCAAATTTGGTAAGAAGCTTCTACACCATCCTCGACACCGGCTCCTACTACCACCTGAGATCCCTAGCCCGAGAATTGCTGTTCGACACCACAACCGCATCCAGCCCATACGTGCACGAACTGATCGCTATAAGAACAGCCCAGTCCCAACCATTGTAAAAATTATCAATAACTTGTAATAAACCAGTGTATTCACTCCCAGTAAACACTACTCCTTGCACTGTCACTATGTGGAAATGAACTGTAGTTTGAGCTTTTCCCCATCTAGTTATTATATATCTCATTTGTATCACTTATGTTACTTGTATATTATTTGTAATTCGAAACCCATTCCCCAAATATGTAACTGTATATTTTCAGCCTTCTGGCTGCCAAGCTCTTTCAATAAACCATTAATCATTATTATTATTATTATTATTAAATGCTCATACTGTATTGCTATGCACATTTTGAATGTTCTGCTATGAGGTTTCTTTTCCATGCCAAATGTCCCTCGTAACTGTGTAACATCTTGCTCTCTTGTTATTCACACACTCAAAACATTTTCAAGACTTGACCAAAACTTGTAAATTAGGGTCCATTTATAAATATAGAATCTTCAGCTTCCAAATGTAAAGTTGATGCATAAGAGAAAAAGGCTATCACAATAACCATCTATAATAGCCTTTACAAATTTCTCTCACCTGAAAACTTCACAGAAATTATGACCAATTACAAAATATATAAAATACTAATTAAAATTTCTAAATTCATGTATTACAGTAGACTGGCTAGATGGGCCTATGTAGCATTTGATCAAATTTCTAAGATAAGAAATGATTAGTATAGAAATACAGTACATACCTTTCTCCAACTTGAGTGATGCTAAATAACGAGAGGTATTAAGTGTTGCTACTATAACTCGATGGGAGAGAATCTCCTCTTCACTTGGCATTAAAAACTTTCTCACACTCTGGTCATTCTCTATCAAGCAATACTGTAAGAAAGAAAATTTAAGTGTAAATAGAATTTGAAATGCAATATCAATTATGAAATACTGTACCACATTGAGAAATATAATCCAGACACAGTACCCTAGCATACATCAGTCATCAAGATTAATTATATCCAGTAAGCCCCCTCCAATGTATTGCCCTTTATCATACATAAATGTCTTTCTCTTAACATTTAACATTATAATATACTTGAACAATGCACAATTCTAATTACACTACTTTAAGACAGAAATTAAAACATCAACCTTGCCTTTTGAACATCAGTGTGGACAGTTGTGACCCAGCGATTGCGATAATAAATACGTAAAGGTTTTGCCTCTTTATGCCCTGCCATTACATATGGGTGAAGGTATTCCTTGATGTATAAATCTGCAGCACTGAAACATATGAGACAAATTTATGTATTAAAAATTATTGAAAAATATATTTTCAATCACTGTAAGCATTTAGAAGCCAACCCAATGTAGCCTTTCTCTTTATTAATCAATAAGAGTGGTTATAACAGGGGTTCAAAGATTGCATGATGCTACTTTTGGAACCAGTGTATGTGTGTCGGTATTGAAGATATTTATTATGTCTGTGAGCTTGAAAATCAGCATCATGCCAGCTTTGAAACCCTGAACTTAAACATGTACTAAAATTCAGGTGTGTTGGGGAGCTACATATCTACCCAACACACCTGGGTTTATGTTCAGGGGTCCAAAGTTGGCCTTCAGACAAACTATAAATGTCTTATTTTGCACACATTCTCTCTCTCGTGCAAGCATGCACACATGCACACACATTGTCATTCAAACCCTGAACCCCTGATATAACCCCTTAGGGAAAGGATAATTTCTTTTTTTTCAATTATGCTTTAGGCTCTGACCTGTTGGAATGAGTGCAGATCAGGATGCGTGTGTCAGATTCCTGCAGGATTTGTTTGATGCCCTGAGCCAATGTATAAGTTTTTCCTGTCCCATAAGGCCCTGTGTAAGAATATCAAGCTCTCACCATTAAATCTCCATACAAAAACATTTTAGTAATATTATAAGTTTACACCATTTATAATAAAGAAAATATACATTCTACTTGTCCTAATGCAATTGATGCATTTTTTGCTTTCAAGCATTAAATCACTACTTTTTTAACAATATTAATTTGACAATATTACAAAATGACAATTATTTATTGGTTACTGCAATTACACAACTGTATTAAGTTCCTCAAATTAATAAGTAGCTTCATCAAAACTATGGAAACTAAGCATCTTAGTTAAATTTGCTAACTGATGGTTTCTTCTGGCAGACTGTATCATAGCACCTCTCTTTATAGCAGAAGTTATTTCAAGTATATTTGAAAGCACGGGAACACATGGAAGTATGATATTCAGCCCCATTCCACCCACTCCATCCATGTGACTAACAGACTTTCAAATGACACTTCAAAATAATTATATACCTGTACTGTACAGTATAAGTATGCAGAAATATTTTTTTCATTTAAAACTCGTGTTTGTACTCTAGAATCACTTTATATGACATATCAGAATTATCTTAAGATTGTTATGCTTCAATAAGGGCAAAAATAAAATGAATTTCATAAAATTGAGAAACTATACAGTTAACACATTTTCCAAAAATTTTCCTTCACCTTCAAGTCTGTGAGTAAAAATAAGCTAAAACCTAGTACAGTACAGTACACAAACTATTGTACACTGATAACACAAGTAAAAATTTATTACTAACCAATAATCAATATAGGTGGTAAAACAAGGCCAGTGGGTGCGGTAATGGCTACTAAAGCTTCCTTCTGTTTGGGATTCAATTTTGCATCCAGACTCTCCCCCCACTGCCTGTGGGAACAGCACATATCACTATAAATACAACAAGAAATCATGATATATAAAATTATTTATATATATATACTACATTATGTAAATTTAGACCTACTTTATTGGGTTCCATGGTATTGCAGGTTCCAAGGTGACATCTGGGAATATCATATCTAAGGATGGGAGACGATCTAGGGCAGCATGCATCTCACACAGTGGCAAACGGTTCAGCTGGAACTGTACTTCAACTGTCACTTCCTCATCATCGGTAAGACGAAGAGCAGAAACAGCCGATTCAGAAAATCTGAGGTAGATCTCCTTTTTAGTTTTGTCTTCAATGAGGACTTCATAAATTCGACGTTTTGCTTTAGTCAAATCTTTTCCCCCAACATCTGTAAAAATAAATATACAGTACAGTATAGGAGTTTATATAACATTAGCATATAGCCTTGTAATCCCTCAGGTTTACATCATACAGTATCTTCCTTAGGAGAGCTAGAAGTACTGTACCTACAGACTGATCTTAATTTCCAATATTCACATCACACGATCACTACTATCTACATAAGCATGAATCACAAAAAGGCCTTTTACACAGTTAATGACTGCCAGCCTCTCTTTAAATGGTTATTATTAGTAATTCACTATGGTTCTTTGAAAAAAAGAGTACAATTTATAATCTGTAATATGCTGAGCAATGATTCAAACCATCAAATCCAATGTTGAAGGTACAAGTCATTCATCTTTTTAATCAAAGATAATTGTACACATTTTTATTCAACGATAATCATTAATCCTTTTAACCAAAGATTAAATGTAAAAAAAAACATTTTGGAACTGTATGTGCCAAAACTCTAACATATCAAAAATCTAAATACTGTAATACCCGGTATATATAAACTGTACTCAAAACTTTTCAAATCCTATTCATAGGACTTGAGCTGTTCAGAGCTGGCACCTGGCTGTGAGCAGGAGGTAGCATGTTATCACAATTTCCCAATAGCCAAGCCATAAGCTACTCTTGTAGGTTAATAAATCCATATTTGAATCTAGATTTGCCTATAAGAGAAAACTGTACAGTATTGCAGTAAAACACTGTCTATAATAGACTGTGTACAGTACAAGGGTGTCATTGCACACCTGAGCACTGTTAAGTTCTGCCCTTGGGTGCTTATCAGTGATTCCATGTTGCAGGTCACTCACAAAGTTCCATAAAATACAAAACTTATTAGCAAACTTACCTTTCCCAGATTCAGATGATAAAGTTGAACCCTGTGAAGTTGCTTTACCTCCTGCTTCTCGTGTGTCAGTAACAGGAGCCACAAGGATAGTGCTACAATTTGATAAAACTAATCGTCCATGGTGAGAATCTTCTGAAATTTCTGAAGACACCTCCAACTTGCCAAATAGTTCTCCTGGTCGAGAGTATTTTGCAGTTGCTGCAGTTGATGGCAACAGCAAATAACTACTTGTAATCTGAAGTGTTGTTTTAATGTTAAACCTTGCCACTAGATCAAATTGAGCCAACTCCTCAATGTTTAAAAGGTCATGCAATCTGCTTTGATAGTTGCTTTTTGTGGGAAATTTTTCCATTGACGTCTGTGTCAAAACAAAGTTTTCATTTGTTGGAGCTGGATAGGCAGCCAAAATACTCTTATCATGGTCACTCAATTCATGAGGTTTAGGATAAAATGGAATAATTTCAACATTTTCTTCACACCATCTCTCACTTCTAGTCAGAATTGTGCGCTTGGTTTCCTCAAGAGCACTAAGATCCTCAACAGGAATGACATCCACACATAACCGTTGCATAAGAACTGGTTCACTGTCAAAATCAAATATAACAGCTTGACGGAAAGTTCCATAGATCATGGTTCTAAAACTGATAGTTACTTTATATTCATGAACTGACTGCTCTTGATAAACCAAAGCTTCAGCATCAGTGTTCACCCACTCCTGATTATTCTCCGGTTCACATGATTTATGAATGTGGCGATGATTATCTATGCGAGTAACCTCCGAAATTGTGAAGTGTGTTCGATGGGCATCATGAAGTAGAGACACTACCCGCAGGGGTGTAACGGGATGTAGACTGATGACCCACTCATGGCTGCTTGGCTTTTGCGACACACGTAGGTTGGGTTCCATGCTGATGTTGGTTATGATGCCCTCACTCTAAAAGTAAAAAAATAATAATAATAATAATAATAATAATAATAATAATAATAATAATAATAACAATAATAACAATAAAAATAATAATATATACAGTACAGTATCAGGGTTGGCCGATTTAAACCAAAAAAAATATTTGTTATATGGTATGTATACAGAGCATACCATTATACAGTATATACACCCGGTATATATAAATTACAAGGATTACAATGTGATGTACTGTATCTATTATATGTCCAGTACAGTACATGATACAGTTCTACCAATTAATAGGTTATGTGACATGAGATATCTCCTGGCTGTGATTTGCTAAATGTCAAAGAGTCTGAGAACTGCCAAAATTGTTGTAGTACCACCACCCTGACACATGAATACTAACCATCAAATTACACCATTTAAGCCAACTTTTCTAGATATTCTATAAACAAAAACAAAATTGCAAGAAATAGGAGTGTGTGTGCTTATGTCGCTACACACACATAATCCAGTTAAAAAACACAGCATTGCACACACAATAATTATATAACTCAAGATGTTTTACAAGTGTTTTAGTTTCCTTAGTAACAAGGAACTAAAACCTTATAGCTGTTATCTTCGTTCAATGTACTATTTCCCTTAAAGTATTTTATTTCAGTTTCCACAGTAATCCAATATCTGAGACATAAGAGAGTTTGTTTACATATTCCTAGATAGAAAATAAAAATATACAGCAAAATGAAGGTGCTAACAAAAGTTTATATTTAAACAAAACGGTCCCATTGTTAATGAAAGTTAAGGATATAGTGCAAAGGTCAGTGTGACAATGAATACATGGGAAAGGAAAATGTACAGATAAATGTTAGGTACTGAAGAAGATTAAAAAGGGTTTGGCATAATGGACACAATAATGTTAAAAGACAACATGAAGAGCAAAACACCTTACCTTTTCAGAGAGTAGAGCATCATGATGTTGTGTCTGGGAAAGTCTCTCCAGAAGCAGATCAGCATAGGAAGCACCATGCAGTTGTTTCTCCCTCGCTCGCTCAAGTTTCATAGCCCGGTATTCAAAGCGTTCCTGCCACTCAACTAGTTCGGCATCACTGTGGGCTTCGACACACTGATCCCCTAGGCGACAAGTGTGTGTGTCTTTGTAAGTGGCACAGAGAGTGTACTCGTCCGCACTCAATCCCCTGGGAGGTGGTCGGTGAGTCCAATCTCGACCCTCATCTGACATGATGGTGGTCTGATGATCCTGACTGCGGCAATGAGCCTGCAGCTCCACCTTGGTGCTGAAGTAAACATTGCAATATGAACAGTGAAGACGAGCCGGGGGAGACTTATCTTTCCTCGTGTGTGCCTTCATGTTTGGTGATTTAGGTTTGTCACTCATAACTGATGCTTCAAAAGTTAATTCACCTTCTATATCTGATTTTGGGCTTCTGGATTTATGCCTAGCTCCTTGCATCTCTCACAGATTTTCCTTTTTCTTTTTATTCCACTTTTGTTTTGAAGTACTTGCTAAACTTGCGGTTTGTTGCACTATAAGAATTTAAATGACAATTCTTTGTTTTTTCCATTTTCTATTTTGAACTGGATTTTTCACTTCATTCAGCCCTACAAGGGCTTTAGTCACTAACAACAATTACAATCTTCTCCATGTAATTCTGAAAATATCACTTCAGAAAAGTTTACAACACGAATAAAATATCCCAGGAGTGTTGTATTGTTGTGTAACAGTTTAAGCAGTACAAAGAAAATGAAGCAAGAGATAAACAATAAGCAGTCACAGAATTATATGCAGGAAGGAAGGAGCACCACTCATTTTTCTTCTTCTTCCTCATTAAGAAGTTTCGTCCATATCCAGTCTGCCAACATCTGAAATACAAAAAACAAATGTGTAGCTATTCATGATACATCCATACACTCATTCAAGTGATGTATGACAAAGAAAATTAGAGCATGAAGAATAACTGAATGACTAAAAAAAAATAAAAATTACATTGTGTATTTGTTCTTGTTTCTGGCCATCCTGTGCAGTATCTAGTGGGCAACAACGTGAGAGCACAGAGGAAAATATAAAAAATACTATACAATATATCCACTTAACAAATAATAGAGAAAACACTTGTTTATACGTGGTAGTGTTGGTGGTGGATATGATTGGTGAAGTTAGTGGTGGATATGATTGGTGAAGTTAGTGGTGGATATGATTGGTGAAGTTAGTGGTGGATGTGATTGGTGAAGTTAGTGGTGGATATGATTGGTGAAGTTAGTGGTGGATGTGATTGGTGAGTGGTGGATGTGATTGGTTAGTGGTGGATAGTTAAGTTAGGTGGATGTTAGTGGTGGATATGATTGGTGAAGTTAGTGGTGGATATGATTGGTGAAGTTAGTGGTGGATATGATTGGTGAAGTTAGTGGTGGATATGATTGGTGAAGTTAGTGGTGATAGATTGGTGAGTGGTGGATATGATTGGTGAAGTTAGTGGTGGATATTGAAGTTAGTGGTGGATATGATTGGTGAAGTTAGTGGTGGATGTGATTGGTGAAGTTAGTGGTGGATATGATTGGTGAAGTTAGTGGTGGATATGATTGGTGAAGTTAGTGGTGTAGATGGTTGGTGAAGTTAGTGGTGGATATGATTGGTGAAGTTAGTGGTGTAGATGGTTGGTGAAGTTAGTGGTGTAAATGGTTGGTGAAGTAAGTGGTGTAAATGGTTGGGGGTGTAGCTACATAGATGGGAATACTAATAATGCAGTATCTGTTCATGTCTATAAAAATAATATTTTTTTTACAAATGCAATGATTTTAAGAAACGTAGGACAGTGGAATCAGTTTCTAATAAAAATGTAACAATTTTAACTTGAACAATGACATGTTCAAGCTGGATCCTGTGATGAAAACCTTGGTGGTCAGGTCTCTTCCGGTTAATGTGCTGCCTGACCTGATCAGAGGTGACCGCCGTGGTGATGGGTTCTTCTCTGTAACTTCACTGAGAAGAGTGACTGTTGTTACCAAAACTGTTTTGTAATAAACATTTTGTCTGTCAATGTGGGTTTCTTCTCATAATTAATGCAGGATCAGTAACAGAAATTATTTTTTTTAAGTTTTGATTCTTAATATTCCCACAATGATCACTTTCTAACCTGATAGTCACCCGAGATTGATTTTGACACAAAGTGACCCAAGGACTCCCCCCACCCTGGGCCCCTCCCTCACGATGCCACTGAGGTGCAGTAAACCAGTACCTTTGACAATTCTTCTTTGTGTGTGAGAATTACGATGTCATTGGCAAGGCGGCTGGCAAAAATTGGCGGCTGGGCCTTGCTAGCCAAATCAGGTAAAACCACTCATGATGTCAAGATCAAAGAGGAACCATGTACTGTATATTGGGTGTGAAGCCATTATAAGATAGTAACTGTAAGTGTTATTTAAGCCTACTGCCATGGAAATTATTGACAGTAATAAACATGGTTAAAGAGTCGGCTACAATGAGTTCATGTATACTGTAGTAATACCAGGCATGCCACTCACAAAACCAAAGTTGTGGTGGAAATAAGAGAAAAGGTCCAGTGGTTGCTGTCCGGCCAGTGTGATATAAGAACATAAGAATGGAGTCACTGGGCAATACAGTATGGCAACAAACTTAGTTTGTATATTGATTAAGGTATTTAATAAGATATGATTTTCTAACATAATGTACAGTAACATACCTATAATGTCATGCTACTGTATATTGTGTTGTAAATCTGTGGAAGTCATGTACTGTACCCTACTGTATTTTTAATTAACAACCACCATCACTTTTTATTACCTCACTGGTTAAAGGTGTTTAAAGAAAATGTGAAATTTTTCAAGCTATAATTGTGACTTTTCTTGTTACAGTACTTTATTGCCATTCACCCAAAATCCATACCCCTTCCCTCATAAAATCCTGGATCCATCTTAAAGTTAAAAATACCATAAACAGATGACACACACACACACACTATAATGGCAATCTATTTCAGCCATATAACAGCAAAAGCATAACTAGGTTAAATAAAAAAAAAAATGCAAATTTGAAGAGGAAACCAAAGTAACACCATTCTACTTAAACTCTTTTCAGTAACATTGGGAGAAGCTTATAAATCATTTGACTGGGAAGGTTAAAATATCACCAATGTTTAACAAAATCACTTTTGTTTCCCTAACATACAACCGTTCAACAAACTGGAGTTAAAAATTCATAACAAGTTAAATGTGGCAAGTCAAAGGGTGGAATTTATAATAAACTCAACCAAAAATAATGTTTAGTACTGTATATGCACAGAAGGAAGGAGAGACAGAGCAATTACTATAAGGTGGCTTCAAAATGTTGTGGTATCACATAAAATAACAACCTTGAAATGTTATAGAGTGCTGTACAATGAAAAGATTATTAACAATAACATTATGAACAGGTAGTGATTATTATAAATAAATTGGGAATTTATGAAACGAATTGCACAAAAATTAAATGGAAAAATATTCAGTGGTTTAGTTTAAAATTCTGTAAATACTACAACAAATTAAAATCTAAAAAGAATGTATATTTGAAGTACTGTAATAGCCCTCAAGAGCCCCACCTGTAAACATGACTTACGGTGGTGTCATGCTGGTGGTCAAAAGGGATGAACCTGGAGCAGCAAGAAGCAGCACGAGACTCATCCTTCTGACCGCCAAGGCTACAGATTGAGAAAAGTCATTCTCCAGCTTTGCTACACAATCCACACAACAGTATGCTATTATCCTCAGTGTTCTCTGCAACAAAAAATATCCAGAATAAGTACATCACATAAATTTTCATTAAAACCTGTGTATCACCTCCTTATCTGAACTTAAGAAAATGGGAATCATCACCTATACAGTACACACCAAATCTATATCCCTGGAGCTACAGCCACATAGGTCATACTTGAAATATATCAATACTCACACCTGAAATTTTAAGTGACATTACCACAAAACATGGAGTGTACCCAGTATTTACATTAAAATGTTTGTAATAGAAATTTGCAAAATTTCCATTAGCTGTAAGTTCTTACCGGATCGTACAATACTGTAATGTATTTAGGTGCATTAAGTTTATTGCCACATTGGACAAAACAAAAATAAAATTTAGGATAAATATTGATAATGGGAAGTTTGACCTGTATTACTTATTAATAAAATTCAATATTATGGCAAGTGCTAAAAACAGATTGTTTTTATTTTTCAAAATAACAGTGCACTTTCAGTGCTTTGATTACTCAAAATAATCTCATTTAAATGCAGTACAGTAAACAGTTTCTTCCCAATGAGCAATCCTCTTACAATTCATGCTCTCCAACTTATCACAGTACTGTACGTACTGTAAAATTACCCAAAGGCAATTTCACACTCAGCAAGCATGAATTTTTCATTTCTAACTCTTAACCCCTTCACTATGGGGAAGTCACTTTATATTTCATTTGGCTACATAATGCCAGATTATTTTATTCAGCAGAGAAGAGACCTCGTACACAAGTGGTTAAGGTGCCTAGCATAGGAAACAATGAAGCAGTACAAAAACTAGCCATGAGTCACATAAAGAGAAGAGGGGGTAAGAAGGAAGAATATACCATTGTGATATTGTTTAGTGATGCTTATTATTAACTAACCACAGAAAGACCTTATAATGAAGTGAAGGAATATCAAAATCAACATACATTGATACACAAGTTAATAGAGGAAAAGAAAATTAATACAAATATGACAGCCAGTTTGACATCAGGCCCCTGATGGCTTAACCAAAGACATTAACAGGATGATAAATTATTTCTTACCATAAAAATATCCCCTGAAGAACAAAGATATGCAATTTTGCCACATTAGATGGCAATACTCTATGTATGAACACCTTTCAGGATCCTTTCCATACAAAAACGTCCAGGCAACGTTAGGTTTAGGTGTTTAGGTTAGCTTAAGTTAGGTTAGGTCAGGACTGTGTAGCACTTATCAACAGTGACTCATAAATATGGCATCATCATGAAACCAGCAGGTGGCAGCATCTTTATTTATGGTAAAATCTAGGGAAAAACCTGAATACAAAAAGTCCTATTCCTCCACATGATTTGCATTACAGTACTGTACAGGTATCCATTGTTATCCAAATGGATTAGGTTCCTTAAAAGCCATTCACATATTGAATATTCAGATAGCTTGTGAATAATATATTAAAAAGGAAAAATAGGGTTTGGTGCTCAAGACAAATTATCACAGGTTTGTGGGGTCTCTTGCCAATGGTGAGGGTAGCAGAGCAATCACCACTATGCTTGGATGCCATTATGTACAGATTCACAAAAGGATGGCATAAACACAGACGGATAAAGAGAGCACTTTGGTTGCACCGAACAATGAGCGAATGGAGTGAGAGAGGACATGAATAGGAAGGAAAGGGGGGCAAAATGGTCAATCCCCCAGCTGACTCCCAGGCCACACCTAGTGCACAATTTCAGTAGTCAATCAGACCAACATGTGGATAAGTGAATATCACCTTCGGTAAGCAAAAAAGAGATGTAAGAATAGAATATTCGAATAAGCAAATTTTCAAATAGCAATCATTTGGACAGCGATGGATATCTGTACAGTACAATATTACTGATATAAGAAAAAGTTTTCTTCTGGAGATTTTTCATTTGGTAATTGGATAATGCGAAGCCTTGTTCTTTACTATTACCATGTACAGTACTACCCACCACAATTATGGTTTGTTTTCAATAGAATTTTCAATTAAAAATAAATTGTAGAATGCAAATCCAATGCCAGAACAAGAAAAAAACAGCTTTGGATTTACTTCATATACAGAAAATTAGTTTCATTGACAGAAATTCCTTTTATAAATGATAATATACTGTACAGTAGATGATAACTCTAACATCTTAGGTACAGTTAGATAGTTTAGGGCAATTTTTTTTTTAACAAATATTCCTTGACCTTGGCGAACGATTCAACCAATTTCTCCTGGCAGCTGTAAAATATTGACACCCTAATCTACCAAACCTAACCTAACCTACAATCATAGTTACCAGCTTCCATATAAAAATAAACCTGTCTTTGAAAGATATTAATGTAACATCCCAGTCACGCCTGATATAAACAAAGCAGCAATGGTTTTGGAGTTCAGAAGAAAGTGCAAGAATTATATTATGAAAAATTAATTCCTCATCCACTTATTATGAGGTAAGAAAGCATTTATCTCCAATTGATACAAATCACCAATTTGCCAGTTCTTGCATGCAACCATAGTAAAGCACATTACTGTACAGTACAGGATATTACCAAAACAAGAAATGCCCCATTATGCAATCGCTGTGGCTCATTCCCTCTAAGCCCCCCCCCCCAAAAAAAAAACCAATAAGGAATCACTCTCTTGTCCATTAGAGTACCGTACAGTGTACTGCCGAAAACTAAAGGAAGAGCTTGCACAGCTGGGTACCCCGGATATCTAATGCAAGAGGTTGCACAGCCTGGTACCCGCTTTCACAAGACTTATGTTCAGGATATTTATGTTACAATAGTAATATTCCAAGTTTGGTTTTGTGTTAAGATATAACAATACAAGATAAAAATACTGAAATCCATTTTCATTAACCAACACTTATCATCACAGCAAATAACAAGTATAATAACTGAGGTCTAGTAATCTTTATTAAAATAATCTAATTTTAAAGGAAACAATACTTAAAATAATATAACCCAACCTGACTCATCCCAATCTAACCTAAACTTCAATTCCTGGTGGCAGAATCAAACAGGGAACTAGAAAACAGCTGAATAAAATACAGTACATTAAAATCATAAAAGTTATAACAGTAAGATTTAGAATTTGCTGATAACATTAGGGTGAAATTATCGTTTCGGTCATGCACCGACCTTCCAAAGGTCAGAATCATTCAAAACACAAAAAAAAACATTGGAAAAATAATTTCAACCTAACCTAAACCTAAATTGGCTGCATGACCAAAGCGATAATAATACCAATATTAGCTGTACTGTATTATGAAATTAGCCATATCTAAAATGAAATCATTTTTTGTTGGCCTAATTCAGCAAAGCATTATACATAATCCACAGCCTAATTGCTGTTTCTTATATAAGTTCAATTATGGTTTTCCTTGTTCTAACATCGAATATGAATTTATTGCAATTAATCAAAACCTAGTGAAAATCATGAAGAAAAAAAATATTAAAATCATGACACAAATATTTCTCAATTTTTATTTCAACAATATATACACGTGGTATGAACCAGTATTATTTCTACCTAATTGTACGTTAATTACCGAGTCTGTAATGAAGTGTCTAGATCTGTTTTTATTCCCAAGCTTTACCGGGTAGTGACTTACTGTGTACTGTATAGAGAGGGTGTTCTCTGGACACTTACACTGCCCCTCAAGGGAGTGTAGAAACGTCTCTCCATTTTAAACATAGCATCACACCATACTGAAATAGCTGTCTACGATATTTTAAGCCTTTCATTAAAATTCTAAACATCTATTATTTTTCTTAGAAAACCAATGTTATGATCTACGCCCATCAACTTCACTACAGTAAACCACGGAAAATAAGTTGTAAAATAAAAATAGATTCCTCTACCAAGTCACAAACGTAGGTTAAAAGCATAACTTACAAAATTGAAGCATAAACAGCATTAATAACAAACTGATGTGTCCAGGATGAAGCTCTTACACTGAACATAAACAATCATGGCTGCTAAATGAATAGAGGACAGATATACGGATATGCATGTCACTCATGTTACTTAAAGATTGCAATAATATATATCTACCATTAAATAATGATACAATATTATATTTTCCAAAAATATGTACAATATAAAATTCATTATCCAGGTGCATGAAAATTTATAGGTGGACTCCGTGTTAACTCTCTATGGGCAGACCTTGGTAACCAACAACACACTGCTATGGCACCGCCAGCCACACAGCTACTGCCTTCGTGTCCTTAACACTACATTAAACTTACATAATTATTGCAAAAATAAAAATTACTAAGTTATTAATCAATTCACATATTATTTCTTAGCTCAACCTAAAAAAAATAATGTTCTGCCATTTTCGAATGTGTACATGTACCAAATAATATTTGAGCTTTTTTTATATGGGAACCGCTACAATAAGTACCAATATCAATTTTAGAAATAATTATATCAGTGAACTCAGTTCAGAGGTGTACCATTACGGAATCAATAATGATGTTAATAACCTTTCACGTACTATACACGTATTTCTGCTTTATCCTCCACTCCTCTTCATCACTGATCGTCTCGTTAGCCGCTTACGCCTGTTACACTCTCTTGACGAGTACTGTACAGGGTATGCACGGGCGTCCGCTCGGGGTTCAAGCTTGTGTCAAGCTGGCTGGATCAGGGTATTAACGAGTCCGACAAGCAGGTGCGGTATTTGATGTCTGGGTAAGTTAGGTCAGTTACTTCAGGTAACTGAGGTTAGACCTACAGTAAGTTGGGCCAGGAGCAGCAGGAGTGCGTTGACCCCTTTATCACCCACATCCACATCTTATTTAAGTTAACAGAATAAGAATAATACAGATAAATTGTGTACAGGTACAGGTTTAGGTAAAAGGTACATGTTTAGGTACAGTACAGGTTTAGGCATACAGTACAGGTTTAGGTATACAGTATAGATATAAAGTACAGGTACAGGTGTAAGTATAATGTAGGCTACAGGTGTAGGTATAAAGTACAGGTACAGATAATTCTCAAATGGTGAGTGAATCATACAGAGACGTATTCTGTCAATCTTCATATGTCCCAACGAGACGAAGAAACTGCATTCATTGAGAATGAATGTGAAAAGGACTTAGGTGTGTATGTTTCCAACGAGCTGAAGTTCTCCGGCCATTACGAGAAGAAGGTGAATCAGGCAACTAAATTATTAGGTCGTTCAGACAGTGGCGTAGCTAGAGTGTGTCCCCCACAAAAATACATATTGCACAGTGACTCACTATATATATATATATATATATATATATATATATATATATATATATATATATATATATATATATATATTAAATAGTTTGTGTACCATTATAATATTACTGTACTTTCACATACTCAAATATAGTATGCTTTAAGTACACACCAAGCATACTTAAACTTTATAAGTAACAGTTAAACTAAAAGCAAAAACGACATATAGGATAGGGAAAAAAGTAAAAAAGTGTAAAAAATTAGGACCATCTTTATTTCTGAAATGAAAACTACAACTTTACTTTCACATACTCAAATATAGCCTCCCCTCGTCTTGTCACGATGGAGACTTGTGCAGAACTGAAGTGAATTGCTTGTAACTGGTGGATTGGTCGGCTGTACATGAACTGATATGACCCGAGACTGCATGGTTTTGCAGCTACTGGAGACGTTAATCCATCCCTTTGTATCGGCGGCAAGTTAATCCACGTCGTGTCTGACCTAACACCTGACCCACACCACATGAGCTCACTAGTGCGTTCAGACATCTACTTGTAGACGGTACGTCCCTCGTAACGATCTCCAAGAGTGAGGTGCTTCCTCGTCTGGAGTACTTCTCACCCCATCTGGTCCCCGAGATGTGCTGGGGATTGTCAGTTGATTGAAAATGTCCAAAAGAGGGCCACCAGACTGGTGCCTGCACTTCGGCACCTCAGCTACCCTGAGAGATTAAAGCGCCTGAAATTGCCTAGCTTATACTACAGACGGGCATGAGGGTACCTAATTGAAGTACCTAATTGAAGTGTATAAACATTTCAAAGGGCACTACTCAGTCGAGTGCCCTTACCTGGAGCTGGCGGACGCTCGCCCCACAAAGGGTCACAGTTCAAGGTTGAAGAAGCCGCAAGCCCAGAAAACTGAGGGATAACTTTTCCGGAGTGAAAGTTGTGAACTCTTGGAACAATCTGTGAGCTCTTTCAAGACCAGACTTGACCAACACTAGAGCAGGTTCAGGTACTTTCAGGAGCCGGTGCATGCCCAGTACTTGCCAACAGTGTGTAACAGAGACGTGACCGATCGCCCACGCGGGTAACGAGCCGATCAGCGGTGAAGAGGATAAAAGTAAAAGTAAAGTATACATTGGACGTCATATTCTAATTGAAGACTAATCACTGTGGGCTAGCAAATTTTGGATAAACAGCTAGAATGTCCTCAAGCACCCCTGATTCAATGAAATAATTACAAAGTTCATGATGCAATAAGCCAGGTGGCCTGAAGTTCTTGACAGTGTCACATTCAATAATAGTGCGCGCTGTTAGCAAGTATTGGACGTGTGGCTTCTTTAACCTTGAGACTGTACTTGCCAACAGTGTGCAACAGACAGCCAATACATGCCCAGTACTTGTCAACAGTGTAACAGAGACGTGATTGACCGTCCAACCGACTGGAGAGCTGACCAGTGGCAAAAATGTTAAGCAAGAAAATAGTATTCAGTACCAGCAGGATATACAAGTTCAGCTTTCAATTCCATATTTTCTGGTAATTATAGAAAAATGATACTTCGAGAGCCTTTATGGGTAATTGTACAAACTCTCTCACATTGAATTTGATTTATTTTCAGCTTACTAGCCATTTGGATGGTTGGTCCATCCAGCGTTAGTGCAGGAGGAACTAGAGTACCTAGACTCCTGGAGGAAACATGTGATGTTTGCTTTTTTGGTAGGGAGGTTCACACTGGATAACGCCCTTCTCACGTGTGTCCGGGCCAAGCAGGATTACAACCCTCAATAAGACCCTCAACAATATGAATTTAGGATTCATTTAATCATTAGTAGTTTCAGTAATACTGTCAGGGAATCATGTTTATCGACATATTTAACAACACTTTGATCATCTGAGTTCAATCTATGTAAAGAAGAAACACTGAATAGAACTGATAAACGTGATAATCCATCGTTGTTCGATTAGTGTACTGTATTACTAACCTCGTTACGTGCTTAATGAATTGGTTGTGATCATTACTCTGTAGGTGTGGTTCTCAAAGTGGAGGATATGGTCAGGAAGAGTTCTCTCTTATGATGTTAGAATTGTTGCTGGTTTTGTGTAATTATTACTTGGGCGGTCGGTCACGTCTCTGTTGCGCACTGTTGGCAAGTACTGAGTCGTGAAACAGCTCACAGTAAACACTCTCTGTCAGGTTGTTCCATGAGTTCACAACTCTCACTCCGAAAAAGTTTACCCTCACAATTTTCTTGACTTGTGGCTTCATGCTTTAGCTGTGTCCCCTTGTAGGGCTAGCGTCCGCCAGCTCCAGCCCTTACTAGCATTCATATTTACTAACGTTCATTTTTCTGACGTTTATTTTCACTGGCGTAGTAGGTGGAAAGATTCAGTGTATATGAGGTTAAGATTAGGATATAAATATTATTGGGAACTTGGAGCTGATAGAAGTGAACAGGATAAAGAATGTAGAGTTTGTAGAAGATCCAGATCCCATACCCTGCCATATTATATACTGGAATGACCATTGCTTAATGTATATAGAAATGCCCATATAAATAATGTCCCCAAGCAAATAGAGTGGATGTTTAAAAATAGGAAAATAGATGAAATGTTAAAGAAATATAGAAATTTTGCATCTAGAATATAACTATGTACTATAACTGATTATATGAAATATTAGGGATTTATGTGAATCCTGAGAGGGACATTCCTGGACTGGGGTGGGGATGACTTACGTCACTTCATCCCTTTGAGATGTATTAATGTTTTTTGTATCTCAATAAACGTATCAATCAATCAATCATTTTTCTGACGTTTATTTCCACTGGCATTCACCTTTACTAACGTTCATCTTTAATTGCGTTCTTCTTTACTGGCGTTCACCCTTACTGGTGTTCATCTTTAGTAGCGTTGATTTTCACTGGCGTTCATCTTTACTGGCGTTCACCCTCAGTGCCGGATTTTAGACTTGGCAGGGCCTGATGACATCGACTGTGAACCCCCTCTTTCCCCAAGTCTCCCTGGCAGGCTGGTACTCAACTTAGTCCGTGACTCACGTCAGGGTTGAGTTTTATATTTTTTTTTTATAATTATGACACTTCTTACACTTTGTAGGCCTAATTCTTTTATTTTATTCCCACAAAAGTATTACGAGCAACAATTTACAAATAAGGTTCATAAACATTATTGTTCATACATATTACACACAATTAAATGTTCGTCTTCCTAACTTTAGCTAGGCTAAATATTCTGATTATACTTTCAGTGTCCAAGGAGTTCAACAGCTCATGTTCAATCGACAATAGGCTCAACTTCATCAGTCTGTCTTGGCAGGTAGTTTCTCAGGTCATTTTTTATTCGCTTCAGTTTTGAGAATGATCTTTCACCTGCACAATTTGTGCACAGTATGCAAAGATATTTTTTTGAGTAGAAGGTTCACGTTAACGAATGTATCTACCATAGGTTGAATGAAAGTGAACATGAACAGCTCTTGGTTGTGATCCTTGTCAGATTCATGAAGGTAAATATCTAGATCTCAAAGGAATCCAGACAGCTGAACCAGCTCATCATTGCGTGACTCTTCAAAGTCTTCAGGATAATCTTCCACCAAATTGGTTGCTGCTATGCTTATACTGTACCAACACCTGACAGATAGCTAAATCTAATAAAAAAAAACTTTTAGTACAGCTCTTCATAAGCCTATGATCTCCTTTAAGAAGCACTGACAAGGATGTCCACAATGAGGAAGAAC